GATAGGTCGGGTGACAGGCACCTTCGGGCCTGACAGGTGTGGCCCTGTCACGTGGCTGGCCACACCTGAAGATATTGCCACGCACCTGCAGCTGATCAGCCTTGTCAGGGGAGCTATTTAAGAGTGTGATTGAGCTCTCACCGACGCTGGATCGTTGCGTGAGACTCCAAGTCAATTTTCCTAGTGAGCCACGGTTAGTGAGTGTATGCTTTCTGTAGTTGAGTGTCCTGACAGCTGCCTCTGTTATTTCCCCCAGAAGGAGCGTGGTAAAACAAGAAGACAGCGAGCACGGGGTGTGAGGACACATAGGAGCAGAGAACACGGAGCACCACACCCTCGTGACCATCAGTTGAACAGTATTGCACTGCAGAATGTAGTGTGTGGAAGAGAGACAGACCATCATAACATTCTAAACCTACAGAAAAATTACAAAGAAAGTCAAGGTGTCAGTGAGTACAGTTTCCTTCACCGTCAATAGGCACTCAGAAACAAACTCTAACCGGAAGAGGTCTGGCAGATCAAAAGCCACAGCTTAATCAGAGGATGTTTCTGAGAGTTACCAGCTTGCGTGATAGGCGGTTCACAGGACAACAGCTTCAAGCGCAGCTTAATAGCGGTCGTAGTAAGCAAGTCTTAGTTTCAACTGTGAATAGAAGACTTCGAGTTGAAGGTTTGACTGGAAGAGTTGCAGCAAGAAAGGCATTGCTAAGATTTCAGAATAAGACAATGAGAAGACTTTTTCAGGATTCTAAACTTTTTCCTCAGAATTCTGGAAAAACAAACAAAAAGACGTCCAGTGGCCTTAATCCTCTTCTGTGCAATGGAGCCCATTCAATGTTAAAAAACCCCAGCTTTCCTCATACCCTATACCCTGCCTTACTTATTTATGCATGAGCCTATTAGAGTTTTTACATAATCCTGTGACTATACCATCATTATAGTGTGACTTTAATTGTGATGCCATTTTACTTACATTATTAAAGAGTGAGCCGACGTTTGCAGTGACAAGAAGCACATTCGTGACTGTTTCCATGTTAACAACGCAAGCAGTTTCAAGGAAACTTCGTAGTAGCAGCAGCAGCGTCACCACTGACGTTCATGCAGGCCTGCGATACGAAACTCTGCAGGAGCTTATCAAGGTGTGTGTCTGAGAAAGAGAGAGCTTTATAAGCAGCCAGGACTGGGCATCTGCTGCTGACAAACCCTGGGAAAACCTTCTGCAAGTGGGCGGTGTTCTAATGGGCTGACCACATGGTCTTCTATCCATTTGGTCAGATCGCAGCTTTTTTTCTTTCTATTTCCATACAATATGTTTATCAGTGATAAACCAACCATCACTAAATAATAAGATAATTTGGAGATAATCTCAAAACATTTGAGTGTCCCAGGAACTTTTATATTTGCCTTAATGTACATGTCAAAACAGCTATCTTTTACTAACTGCAACCCCTCCATAACCACACTGAACATTATATTTTTACAACAATGATTTGGGAGGTGTTAGAAGCAGCATGTAATTTATGCACCACAAAAAGTTGCTTTTTGTTTTGCTTTTGTTTTATTTTGTTTTTTAAAAACCTGAAAGGATCTTGAACTCGCAAATCACAAAGACACAAAAGAGGAACTTAATCATCTTCTCCCTGTATAGCACTTCTTTTCACTTGGGGCAGGTTGCTTTTCTTCAGGGTGTATTAAAATTATATAACAGGTATATCTTGCCTTAATCTCACTTCCCCTTAGCTGTATGATCAGTGATTATACCCTGCTGCTATCACCATTAACTACACTGTGATGTGCAGTCCTGTGCCAACAGATGCATGACTTCCACTTTAGTCATTTTTCTTTAGAAATGCCCGCCTTCTCCAGTATCTTTTCATCACCACAGCAGCATAACAACATTTCCCTATCCTTAGTATCCAGTGGAGCCAGAAGCTAAAAGACTTGAAGTCTTGAAGTCGTGAAGTGAAAACACACGTAGTGACTCCTTCCAAACAGTAATCCCAATTGGCGGTCCAGCTCCCGTGATCTCTCTCCATTTCCCTCCTAGTGGCAAACACACAAACACACGCAGAGTAATTAAACAATCCTCAGCTCAACGTAAACTGCCACAAAAACCGTCCGCGCTGCTCTACCGTGCTTCACACAATGATCTAGCGCTGACTGAAGCTCGATCGCCCTGTTAAGAAGGCAGCCCGGGAGATGGCGGATAATTGGCTACAGCTGGTCGGCTCTCATCATAGCGTCATTGAGAATAGCGGATCGCGGCACCCAGCAACGCTCTTCCGGACCATACCCCTCCCAGTCCACCAAGTATTAGAAGCCCCTACCGCGGCGCCTAGCATCCGTAATCCACATTACGGAATATGCAGGTGCGCCATCGATAATCCGGGCAGGTGGTGGGGACCCAGCAGGTGGGCACAACGGGCTGGTCTGGACTGGTTTCACCTGAGAAACATGAAACACATCATGAATCCGCCTATTGCGGGGCAAAGACAACCTCAACGTCACCGGATTGAGGACCGACTGAACAGGGAAAGGCCCGATGAAGCGGGGACACAGCTTTTTGGACTCAGTCCGAAGGGGAATGTACCTGGTCGAGAGTCATACCCTCTGGCCAACCTGGTAAGCGGGCGCCGGGGTGCGGCGGCGGTCCGCCAAATGCTTGTTCCGCCAAACGCTTGTTCCGCCAAACGCTTGTTCTGCCAAATGCTTGTTCCGTTCCGCCGTCCTAAGCAAGGCTACCCTAGTTGCCTTCCAGGCGCGCCGACATCGACAAATATGATGTTGGACAGATTGCACGTCAAGCTCACCCTCCATGATAGACAGGAGCGGAGGTAGATGACCCAGGGAGGCTTCAAAAGGTGACGCTCCTGTTGTGGTTGACGTACTAGCGGTGTGGGCATATTCAATCCAGGCCAACTGCTCGCTCCAAGTGGACTGGTTAGATGAGACGACACAGCGGAGCATGGCCTCCAGTTCCTGATTTGCCCTCTCAGCTTGACTATTTGTCTGCGGGTGAAAGCCAGAAGCAAATTGACCTGGGCCCCCAGTTCCGCAGAAAACTCCTTCCACACCTGGGAAGTAAACTAGGGCCCTCGGTCCGACACAATGTCATGGGGAATGCCATGTAAACGGAAAACATGCTGGATGAGGAGTTTAGCCAGGGCCACAAAATGGGCTGCCTTGGAAAAGCGGTCAACAGTGGTAAGTATGACAGTATTATCAGAAGATGGTGGCAAGCCGGTGACAAAGTCCACCACTATGTGAGACCATGGACGGCTGGCGACAGTAAGTGGCCGTAACTGACCCGAGGGTGGAGAGCTAGGAACTTTATTCTGAGCACAGATGGTACAAGCAGCGACATACTCCTGGACG